GAATGCCGACTTGGAAGTCGGTGATTTGGCAGTGGGCGTGGGTGAAGTAGAAGGAGGTGCCGTTGTTCCACTCGATGTCGTACAAGAGGTTCCCTGTGAGCTGCTTGAGGAAGATGTTGACGTTGCGTCCCTTGGGCCAGTCGTACCAGAGGTCGCTCAGCTGGAGGTGCCCCGTGCTGAGGTTCATGTACAGCACTGCGTGAAACTGCTCCGGCCATGGCGCCGGAGTTGGAGGAGGAGGAGTTGAGTCAATCGCCGAAGACACTCCATGGCCAAGGAGGATAAAGAGCCAAACCAACACCAACTTCAGGTTAAGCTTCATTCTCCCACTCTTCTTTTTCACCAGGTGCTCCCTTGGAGATAAGGCTGAGTGCTTCTAGTCCATAAATTTTGGTTTAACTTTTGTTTTATAGATTATAATTCAAATTTTTTTATTTCAGTTCTTATATATATATATATATATATATAAATATAAATATTTATCTGTTAGTTCTTATAAAATACTCTTATTTTAAAGACCGGGACAATTTTTAATTTTTATGTGTGTTTTTAATCTAATTTTACTTAAATAAGATTTTTTTTTTTTTAAAAATAAGATTGTTGTGTATAGATGTTGAAAGCATAAATAGATTTTAACTTTTAAGGCATGTAGTGTTGTTTATAGATGTTGAAAGTAATTTTTAAGGCGTGTAATATAGAGGGTCTATTCAGTATTAGATTGAAGATGTAAAATTAACATGTTCTTAACCTAAAAAATAAAAAAGAAAGAACATGAGAAAGAAATAAGAGAATAATATTTTGGATTTGACTCCAATTGTTTCTCTATTTATAGTAATTATAATTAATTATAAAAGTGTTATTGTGACTATAATTAATCATAAGAGTTAAAAATAAATAACTTTTAAAATGTTTGATTATTTAAAAGTAGTTAAAATTAAAACGATCAAGTTATCATATTTCATTAAAATAAATATTAATTAAATTTTAAAAGTTGTAATTAATTAAATAATAATTTTGAATTTAAAATTTATAATTATTTTGTAAATAAATTAACATTTTGAAATATCTCAAAATATTTATCAATCTTTGACATATTTAAATTTTTTTAAAAAGAAATAATTTCTTATATAGGTTTTAATGATCAAACCTGGTTTAGCAAACTAGCAACGAGACTTAGATCGATAAGATTTAATAATGTAGTGAGTATAACAAACAATTAAATCTAAAATACTTGATATCAATTAGAAGTTAACCAATCACAACAGATGTTACAATCTTTGTCGTTATTCTTAAATTTTTATAGGTCATGCGTGCACTCGATATTTGTGAGTGTTCTTGAGATGTCAGTAAGAGACTTTTTTTACTGAAATAATACTTTTTTTTAAAAAAAATTACCCAAATAGCAACTGTGCAAAATTATTTACACCACTAGCACGGTTAACTGTTAACGTTCAGAATGGGTTATTCTGATATCAGAACGGGTCGTTCCAGATGTAAAAATAACACATGACGAATGGAACAGAACGGCCCGTTCAATTTTCAAAATTAACACATGAACAGTAGAACCAGAACGGGCGGTTTTGAATCTGAAACGAGTTGTTCTGGCCACTTCTGATGGGCCGATATATGGAATAATAGACGTGAGTACACATTGATGGGTCATCCAATGCAAGACCCATTATTTCAAACACGAGAATACATGAAATGGTACATGGCCAATTCTATTTATTTCCTATCTATGCCACAACTACTACAAGATCCAAGGACCTATCAACAACGAAAGACTTCTACAACATTTGAAACTGGTGCAACTTCCATGTGATCGTATGAAGAGAGTCATCAGCAGTATCAAATCCTCCACACAACATCACTCCACAAGAAAACATAATTGACAGAAGGCATTCGTTTGCAACATCAGAGAATTTTTTTACAAATTTATTTGGAGGAGAGAAAACAGAGGGAAGTATTTTTCTATATTGATACTCAATAGAACGTATTATGGGAGATGAATAAAGTGTCTTATATAGACACAATTGCAACACTTAAAAATAAGGAAAACTAATAACTAATACAGCTGTACAAATTTTGACTTTTTTATTATTTCCCTTTATAATGCAATCTCTTTATCAATCGGAATTCGCTAATGAACCTAGTAGTTTTTCAGCAGCATTTCAACAACCAGTGCTTGATGATGAACCAAATCCTTCTGACCAACAACCTTCACGGTGTAATCCAGGCCGTAACAGACGTCGCCCTCGTTGTGAAACTGAACACCATTACGGAGATTAAAAAACTTATATAATTCACTCTATCTTAATGTTATCATTTTTTTACTTTTAATGCACTATGTCTCTTTATCAATGTAATATGAATTTTAATGTTATGTATTTTTACTTTTAATTCACTATGTCGCTTATAAACTATTATAATTATACATTATTTGGACATGTCTTCCTAGTGTGATGTGCAGGTTATCTAGGCTTGTCATTATTAGCCAATAATCTTCATGTCGGAGTTTACATTATAGTAGTCGTGGCACAGATAGAAAATAGATGGAATTGGCCATGTACCATTCCATGTATTCTCGTGTGAAACAATGGACCTTGCATTGGATGACCCATCAATGTGTGCTCATGTCTATTGTTCCGTATGTCAGCCCATAAGAAGTGGCCAGAACGGCCCGTTCCAGATTCAGAATAGGCCGTTCTGGTTCCACTGTTCATGTGTTAATTTTAAAAATGGAATGAGCCGTTTTGATACCAGAACGGTCCGTTCTGTTCCATTCGTCATGTGTTATTTTTACATTTGGAACAACTCGTTCTGATATCAGAACGGCCCGTTCTGAACGTGAACAGTAAACAGTGCAAGTGGTGTAAATAATTTTGCACAGTGGCTATTTGAGTAAATTTTTTTTAAAAAAGTATTATTTCAGTAAAAAAGTCGTCAGCAAGATCTCATGAAAACAGAACAAACAATTAAAAATTAAAAATAAATTAATCAATTTTAGTGCTAACAAAACAAACAATTGACTTATTTTTTCCATTGAACCTTTTTCATGAAATCTCCAATTACAAAAGTCGAGTTATTATCATTGTTTGTTATATCATATCAATCTTATTCTCAATTGTTTGACTTATTCTCTTGCCAAAGAGTTTAAAGTCAATGGATTGACCAAATCAATTATTAACTACACACAATAATTTTCAATCTTTTTAAGTAAATGTTATATCATATCATTTCTTATTTCTTAATTATATATTTTCAATAGAATATTTTTTAAGAGGTTTTTAACCACTATCTTTCATAATCAACCATTTTCAAAGTAAAAAATCCAACAATTGTATTTGGTCGATCTTAAATTAATTTCACAACAACAAGGTGTAATAATACATTATTAGTGAATTTTATGTCATATGAATCTAAGACCCGGTTAATCATCATTGTATTTTCTAATACAATGAAAATTCATAATGTTAAATATCACAGCCTATGGTACTCTTAAGCATATAATCATTATATATAAAATTTATAACACGAAAAATATCACATTTGACACGATAACCAAGTAAAATTACTCAAATTTTTAGCAATTCACATTATCTCCGATGACTTGTGTTATAAATTACTATAACTTTTAAAAATTAAACTCAAAAGTTCACATCACTAATAACACAAAGGTATTAATATTATAATTACACATTTAATTAAGATACTCAAATGACACTCAATTGCCACTATCTCTTATGTAATGTCATATAGATCAATATATTACTTCAAAAGTAAATAAAATATATAATCACCAACTATATGGTAACAAAAAAAATTGAGAAAACCTTGAAACTAATATCTCTAAAATATAGAGTTAAATGTTCGTCATCACATAAATTGATGTACATTAAGGTTATCATGTTAATCATATTTATTTATACCATCGAGAAGAAATTCTCAAAAATTAATTACTTATGTAATTTCATAAATGATGTCTCATAATTATTCTCCTCACATCTTTACATACATTATATTTACATCTCATTATGAAGCAACCAATATTTTCTCTTATTTATTCATGAAAAACAATATTATCAAAATCATACTATCATTAATTTCCTCAAAATTTTGTTAATATAAAGTCTCTCATTACACTAATCTCTCAACAATATATGTTGCACCGGTGGAAAAATTTTAAAATTATCTACTTAGTTTGTGACCTTTCATTCACATAAAATCAACCTTCCGCATTAATGACTATACTTGTGAAGCACGTTTTTCCAATCCAACCAAAATAATTTGGGTTGCACATAGGTACTTGAGTTTCGCAGAACTAGTGGTAATAACTTTGGTCGCAGAAGATAACCGCAAAAATTGAATTACTCAACACATGCAATGCAATTAATCCTGCCTTGTGTATACAACTGTATTAAATCTTGGGGCCAGCTATCCCACACTTTAAGGTGTCTCCAATGTAGCAAGGAGATTGGTTATTGCTATCGGCAGTGGATACTCCAAGGACGAACCCAAACACATGCAATGCAATTAATCTACTAAATAATTACATAAATAACGGTATTGTCTCGAATAAATTAAAAACAAACAAAATTAAGATATTGAAAAAACCAATTAAAAATCAAGTCAGCAAGTGCATTCAATTCCGATCACAATTAAATAGACTTTTAAACTCCAAATCAATAATCCACAAAAGGAAATGTGGATGCTTAATGGAGACAGAAAAACGTGATGTCATTTATAAGCACTCCATCAAAGATTATGTTGATAGCATAAAATTCTCTTACAAACTTAATTTAACATGCTTCGGGATAAAAACAAATAGGCAATAAAAAAAGAATGTAAAATAAAGTGAAACAAATTTAGAAAACTGCATCCATGTAAATTAAGTTGTTCATTTGCATTGTAAAATGCCCGAACATTCTTAAATGCACAAGTGGTTTTATTTCAACAAATGTCAAATAGATTGCAACGAAAAATTATAAGAGCACCTCCAGCGGGAGGTGCTTGTTGCGTGTCTTAGTTGTAAGCAATGGTGCTTATAAAAAATCTCTGTTGGAGTAAATCTATGTGGCAGTAAGGGTTCTTAAATTTTTCTCTTTGTTGCTTGCAGAAGCAACGGTTCTTAACCCTGTAAAATTGAAAATGAAGAGATTTGATTGGGTGAGGGTCATCCAAGGTGGAACGGTTTTGCAAACAAAAAAACTGATAAAACTTCCTTACCTGTTATTGCTCTTGGTCGACTCCCTCTGGTGGCCATCTTCTCAGAGCGCATGCATGTCTGGAAACCTCCGCCGCGCGAAACCCCCTGACCGGAACCCCTCTGCCGCGCGAAACCCCCGACCACCCCCGTCAGCCGCGAGCAAAACCTTCGACTGGACCCCCTCAGTCGCGCGC